CTTTTAAAATACTTTTATAAATATTTAATTTTTATTTTTATATTAAATTAAATTAATAAATAAATAAATAAAAAGAGTTTATATGGATAATAATATACTCAGCTAGATGTATGAATAGTTAAATAAATTACATAAAAATTTATTAAAAGCTTCTCTTGATAATTTAATAAATTAACAATTTTCTGCACATAGAATAGTAGCTTATCTAGGTAATGAATTAGTTAAGGCTATTTCTCCAAAACTACTTCCTTACTCTATTTTACTTACTTTCTTTCATCATATTTTAATATTTATTTTCAAGCATTTTTTCATCATCTAGACAGTCGAATTAATCTTCATCCTTAATGAGTTATCAATATTACAGATTCTTCTCGTTCATCAAATTCTTTTCCTAGAGGATGTTTCTTTTCTTGCTTCCTATCAAACTTTTATCAGATTTCTTTTCCTACTTATCCAATCTCTCATCTCCTAATCTGCTTCTTCCAACTAACATCTAAATAAAATACATTATTTTCATACCCAAACACTACCTTTTAATATTATATAAAAGTTTTTGCCAATATCACCAGTAAATTAATGTATTGCAACTCTTTGTATAAATTAAGCATTTCATCTAAACTTGTTGTTGTCTTCATCATTTCATTAAAATATTTTATAGATTAAAGTGCTGAAGCTAGTAAATTTAAATCATTTGAATTTCTTTATTTTTAATCCTTAGTTAATATCTCAATTATGATCTAATTTTTATGAAACATTACTTCAAGGTGTTATAGGTGTTATGGATTTTCAATATCTATCTCTCCTCTTTACAGTAATTCTTTGACTTGTTGATTCAATTTCATTTATTATTTTAGCTTATCGATATTTGAAATTTGTCTATACATATGTTTAGATTACTATATTAAATATAAAAATAATAAAGTCATCCTAAAAAAAGAGTACTAAATGTACTCTTTGTGTATTTTGAGACATATTCATAACTATAGCCACTAAATAAATGTTAAACTGAATTCTTTTTTAGTAAAAGCTTATTCTCTTTAATTAATTCATCTTAACTATCATTATCTTCACTAATTTAATTCAGATATTCCACATTAGCATCAATTTTTTTCTTACTAATAAAAATATACTTTTGGAATATATGGTGATTCAATTTCTTTATTCAATAATTTTTGCCAAGGATAATTTCGAAGCCATGGATGATTCTTAACTTCCTCAGGTCCTTTAAATCCTAATCTATTTGCAGGTTTTCTCTAAATAAGTTTATTTATAAAATCTGCTGCTTCTACTAACCAATCATCAGGAATTTCAGATCTTTTTATTTATACTTATCTTGTTAAAATTTAATCACGAATCTCTTATCTTGATCTTCTATTATAAGGTCTTCTTCCTAACATAAATTCATAATCCTTTATTCCTAATGCAAAATAATAAACTGCTATTGTATGATTCTATCTACACATTACTTCAGGTGCTAATTAATTTAATAATATTTATTACCCATATAACCAGGTGTACCACTTGTATCTTAAGAATTCTCTTATTTTCAAACTCTTGCTATTCCTAAATCTGTCAATCTTGCATATCCCTCCTTATCTAAAACTAAATTCTCTGGTTTTAAATCTCTATGAATAATATTATTATTATGTAAAAATTCCAATGCTAGTAATACACAGCAATAAAAAATTTAGTTTAATGTTCTTTAAATCTTCTAAACTTACCTATATGATATCTAAGATCACCTCCTGTTAATAAATCCATTAAATAAAGATTCTCTCAATCTTAAAAACAATAATTCATATTAATTAAAAAGGGATGTTTAAATTATGCCAATAATTTCGTTCATTCATTACAGAATTTACACTACTTTTAGCTATTATCTTTGCTTTTGACATCTCTTCCATTGCATAATACTATTTACTCTTTTTCATCTCTACTTCCCAAACCTTTCCAAAACCTCCCTTAACAATCACATAATGAAATTAAAAACTCTACTTGTTTATTTAGATATTACAATCCATTATCAAAGTTTCCTCTTCATCACTTGATTAATGCTTCTCTTATTATTATCTTAAAATACTCTTTTAATTTTCATTTCTCGAGATATGAGATATATGTTAAATACTTAACATAGAATTAAATAAATTTTCAAACCCTTTATTTTATTTATATTAACTTGGTACCTAAAACTCCTACTTTTTTATCTAAATTTGAGGAATCTCATTATTAATTAATTAATATGGCTTCTCAGCTGGCTTATTCTCTTTCACCAAATTATTTTATTTTTTAAACTAATTTTCTGCATATTTATATTATTACTTCTTCCTTATTTTATGTTAATAAATGGAGATATTTTTTGTATTGATCTATTTGGAGATTAAGAATTATTTCTCCAAGTATTTCTATTTATTATATCTAAATTATCCAAAAATGCTGGTTTCATATTAACCTTTCGATTTACATTATTAATCTACATTTGAAACTTATTAATGATTCAATTAAGAATTCATTAATAATTTTG